TCTCATTTCTCACTTTTTATCTTTAGCACTCTCTTCCTCTTTCCCTCTTTCACAATACCCTGCCTTTCTTTTTTCTTTTTACTCTTTTTTTTCTCTCTCTCCTTATCTATCTATTTATCTATTTATATCTCTCTCTACATATATATATATATATATGTGTGTGTGTGTGTGTGTGTGTGTGTGTGTGTCCATCTATCTCTCACTCTCATCACTATATCATTCTCAGCCCCAAAATTTTGAAACACTGCTAATAAATAAGGTTGATTAATAAAGTCGTTGGTAAAGATTTGTGCAAATTTAGGAAAGTGGTCCCTGTGAGAATTCCAAACTGTTTGTCGTGTATGCAAACAGAAAAACGCTGAGGTTACAAACGCGATAAATAAAACCTGTGAAACGGGTTCAAATTTTACTTGGGGCGATATATATTTACTTCATGAGAATAGACTGGAAAATCCGCTTCTCCACTCTACCCCATCATCAAATCACTTAACTACAAACGACTTGTCACTGATATACCACGATGTTAAAAGTAAACACTTGGTAAAAACGCTCTCCCAGAGAAACTTTACCCGTCCAGACAATATAAGCAAATTTTTAAACTTGACAAGGGTCACTATTAAGGTGTATCAATAAGTCCGTAGCCTGATAGTTGGTGATATTTGTTTTGAAATTTTCACGGCATAGTCCGATATCTATAAGCAATAAAAAAAGTGTTCGAATAAGTGCAATGGCAAAAAAGTAAAATAAGAGAATATTTCAATTGTATATATATATATATATATATATATATATATATATATATATCCGCCATATATTTTAACATATATATATATATATATCGCCCAACATCATAGAGACACATTTGTAGTGACAAAACATAATTTTAATTGTGTAGCAATTTTAACATGTTTTTGTTTTTTAATATCTTAAAATATATATATATATATATATATATATATATATATACTCTTTTACTCTAGTAATTTTTATGTTAAAATAAGTGACTTTTTTTTCATCTAAATATACCTTCAGGTACATGGTTTAATTCTGAGAAAATACATATTAGATAGATAGATAGATAGATAGATAGATAGATAGATAGATAGATAGATAGATAGATAGATTTCATACTAATGCGCTGGAAAAATCCACTTCTCGCTCTCTGCGCATCCTCATATTACTCGACCGAAAAAGTCTCGTCACTGATATACCACGATTTTTTTTTTTTGAGCAAATCACTCTCCAATAGCATTTTTGCCAGCCCAGACAATGGCACCAAATTCTAACCCTAACACGGGTCACTTTTAAGGTGCATCAATAAATCCGTAACATGACAGCTATTAGCTGATATTTTTTAGGAAATTTTCACGACATTATGTTCGATCTCTATAAGCAATAGAAAAGTATTAGAACATGTGCACTAACAAAAAATATAAAAATTAAAATCAGAGAATATGTTGAAAAATAAATACGTTGTTACACCTTTTTCTATTATTAGGTTGTGAATATATTGCTCTACCTTCTTTTTCTTTCATGTGTTGTGTTCCTTCAAGGCGTGGGCAATCATGGTTCTCCACAACTTCCTGTCATTTGTAGCTATGAGCATTTTTTTTTCTTGGCGTTTTTTAATATATTTCGTATTCCCTGTCTTGCCATTTGTACAAGCACGTTAGGTATATTTCCATCTGCCCCTCTCGCCTTCAATATGCCCTGGGTGTGTTAAATTCTCCAAGCCTTCTTTCCTTATTACGTGACCCAGAAATTTTAGATGTCTCTTTCGAGAAAATCTCACGTTTTTTTATTACTTTGCTTAGCTTATGTAAAGCCTCTTTCGCTATTTCAATGTGCCTTCGGTTTTTGGTGCCACATTTTTCGTCATTTGTTAAGTTTCTATTGCTGCACCTGAGTATATATATGAAAAAAATCACGTTTTTTTAGTAAGTCGTTTTTCTTTATCATTTCACTCCAAGCAAGGCGATAATGCCACTAAGACACAAGGGATTAGTGGAGGAGAAACCATTTAATCTGAGAAAATTAAAGAAAATGGGAAGACTGTAGAAGAAGGAACCGGAAACCCAGTCCTCAACAGAAAACAAGGAATAAACCTCTTCTCTTGTTCAAAAGATGGGAAAGGAGTGTGAACTGGGCGATAGGTGACCTTATCTACTTCTATTAACGCTTTGACGAACAAAATAAGATTTGCAATTTTTTAATGTTATTTATTCTTAAATGAATTAAACCAGTCTTTGGAATTGTATTCTGTGATTTCCAATGTTCTTCAGTACATTCCAAGAGCTTAACCTTATGCACTTCTGTGGTAGAAGGTCTAAAAGAACAAAAGTATATTTCTCGAAAACCTTACTTTGAAACATCGACACCTTGAAGCCGTTAATCTTTGATGTCTTCCCGGAAATCGTTGTAAACAAAGATCAGGACTAACCTAAGAAATTCCAGGGTCCAATGGAAAACCTTTTTTTTTTTTTTTTGCATTTTTTTTTATTTATTTATATATATATATATATATATATATATATATATATATATATATATATATATATATATTTAAGAACATGACGTTCCCAGCCAAGTTATATGGCAGCGATGAGCAAACTCCTATCCAACGGGTGCGTTTCAGTGCGGCCCGCGAAAACCTTTCAAAGAAAAATATTTTTCGTACATTGTTCGATTTTCGGTTAATCAGTTTTTTTTTTTTTTTGTTTTTTTTTTTTTGTTTTTTTTTTTTTAGTGGTGGGGGAGCAATGTCCAATGGAAAGAAAAATATAACAAAAATAATAATGTGGAAAGAGAGAGAGAGAGAGAGAGAGAGAGAGAGAGAGAGGTGGGTGTTATATAAACAGTGTGAAAAATCAGTTCATGGGACCGAACTGTGGCTTGCTCGGTGGAAAGGTGATAGACATGTGAGAAGCAAACTATGCAGAAAGCATTACACACAAAAAAAGTTTTTTCGTGCATTATTCGATTTTCGTCTAATCAGTTTTTCTTCTTGTCAATTTTAGTTAATGTCCGATCGAAATGAATGCCAAATCTAGAACAATTTATTCATTTCATAAAATATTCATGAAAAACAACCAAATTTGTAGATACAACAAGGTTACAAATTCATTTCGTACAAGCCGACAATTAACTTCAATTGAACAAGTCCCATTGAAGAAAATGACCATTGCAGAAGCTGACAGTTGTATAGTGTGACCATGTTTAGTTTTGCAGTAAGCAGTGTCTTAAATTATTATCTAATCATGTAATGATGTGAGAATGCTGACTAATTGAAATTGAATAATTGCCTTAAGTGAATATTGAAATTTCCGTCTTTTTTCAAGTTCATTATTCAGGTATTTTTTTCATATCTTCCGCACGTCATGAACCCGCCAAGTAACACGTGACGCGCAAACCGATCCTTAAAATTATAAAAAGATTAGCAAACCGGTTGTTGGATTATCCGTGAATAATCTTATATAGTAATAGCCTATGGTCTAGGTAAAATGTTAGTTACGTTCGTACGCACGTCTAATGAGACTCTAACAGATAGACGCCATTCTAGCGTTTTGAAGTTAAAAATATGACAAATCGTCAAGTCATAACTTTGATAGGTCTTCCATTGAAACATTGGGACTGCTGCGATTCAGTTCAAATGTTATTAAGAAATCATAACACAGTTGATGACATTAGAGTCAAAAAGCATCATTTCAATCTGGAAATATCTTAATAAATAAATGTTTTCTATTTAATTACCAAAATAGTTTAACTCTTTCGAATATTGTAAAGTGATTCGTTCCCATTCTCAAATTGAAAAGGAAATAAGCATTACCTGCTTTTCTAGAACCGGTTCCTGGAACTTTAGCCCTACGAAAAAAATTAAGCCTACTCATGTTCCATAGGATGAATGCGCGTAGGTCCGAATTAACGAAGTTTATGCATTATGATCAATGCTTAAATTCTTGGGTTTAAATATAAGCTTACAAAAGGCTTACAGCCATGTCCCGTTAAAACACAGGTTTCCGTATGATCATCAAAGTTAAGCCTGGCCAGTACCTACATGGGTGACCGAATGGGAATACCAAATGCTTTAAGCTTGGATGTGAGAGTGATGTACTGGATAATGGCTCGGAATTGTTAATCGAGTTCCAATTCTCGTTAGGTTCATTGCATTCACCATTTGGAAAGGTATGAGGCTAATTCTTATCAAAATTGATTAATTCTTTTTGGTATTATACCGTGATTCTTTCATATTCTCAGATTGAAAAGAAAAGTTAAGCTATGGCCAGTGCCTAGATGGGTGACCGAATGGGAATACCAAATGCTATAAGCTTGGATTTGCGATGTCATGTACTGGATAATGGCTACGTATTGTTAATCGATTTCTGATTCTCGTTATGTTCGTTGCATTCACCATTGGGAAAGTTATGAGACCACCTCTTATCAAAATGGATTAATTCCTTTTGATACTATAACGTGATTCTTTCAATACTCAGATTGAAAATAAAAGTTAAGCCTGGCCTATACTTAGATGGGTGACCGATTGGGAATACCAAATGCTATAAGTTTGGATGTGCGATATGATATACTGGATAATGGCTACGAATTGTTAGTCGAGTTGCAATTCTCGTTTGGGTTCGTTGCATTCTCCTACGTGCAAATACCATTAGGAAAGTTATGAAGCCCCCTCTTATCCACCAGCTATGTGTTTAATTAATAAGATTGTATCATTAAACCAGTAATATCAACAAAAGTTTCTTATATTCTAAAAATATTTTCTGGTCTTAAATAACCTGCAAATGGTTGATAAGCCGTAGAAAATTAATCAATAAACATGTAATACATTTTCCATCAGAAATCTAGATAAAGTTATTCTAGAGTAATTTAATCACATGAAAATACTAAAACAAATTCTTACAATCGTAACAAGGATAAAGAACTTGTTCCACTTATATTTTCGTATTAAGTTTTTGAACTGATCGTGGTAGGGGAAAAATGTTTTTACG